CCTCAGACTAAGGGAAATTCTAGCTTGTGTTGTCTCATACACTCAGTAATCTAGTGGTAATTAACTCTTACCTTTGTTGCGTCTTTTTATAACAAACTCATCACGTAGGCTCGTTTCAACTTCTTGACTGTTCGATTCATCTCCAAGTTGTTCGGCTATCCAGCCCTCTCCATTCATCTCCCATTTGCTTGATTCCTCGCTTTTGCTTCTTCAGTTTTTTCGTTCTCTCTCCCATGGTTACAGAAATGGGATATTACAATTCGGTTGTAACTCCTCCATGGTAGTGATCTTCTCCAATGGTTTGAGAAATGCTTTGGTTGTAATTCAATCCTGCGATGATACTTATCTTTCCCAATTCCCCTCCCTTATCTGCTGCCGCTACCTTTAGTGCCCTATCTGTAATAATAGAAAGTTAAAATAATCATAATAATAATAATAAACCGACACGTCCCTTTGGTTATAATATAACCGTTGCAGCCCATATTCGATCAAATCAAACATAACAAGTGAGGAAGAGGAAAGGAAGCTGCATAGGAGAATGAAGAAGTTGCGCTACTGTATAACGTCGTTCCCTAGACAAGGAAGGAGGAGAAATCGAAAAGAAGAAGGAGAAGGAAAGTGGTCGAGTGACATCAAAGACTTACCTGGACCGTGTCGCGATCGAGGAGAGGTCGACGTTGTGTGCTGCTTAGGGAAGTGGGGGAAGAATAAAATTGTGTGTGCCATTTGCATCGAGACTGACGTCTCCTGCATGCTGCTTGTGCAGAGGAAGGAGGTTATGCGATCGGTCTGTGGGAATGAGTCGAGACTAAAGGTGAATAGAAATATGAGTCGAATTTTTTGGGGCTTTTTTGGAGTACAGGAAAACGAGGAGAAAGAACTTCAAAGTCGGCGAGGCAATTGGTCTTGTGCATAGGAAAGGAAGGGGTTATATGCCCGTGTTTTGTTGGGGTGAGACGGGACCGAAGGAAGAAGAACTCATGCAATCAAGCTGAGACTGAAAGGAGGAACGAGTGAGTTCGCGCGCGAGATAGGACAAAGGCCGAAAGTCATATAAGGTTTATTTAATATTTTTATAAGTTAATTAATGTGTTAGTATGTATAAATTTTATATGTGTGTGAGTGATCCATTTCTAATATCTGAATTTCTAGTTATAATTATAATGAATGTAAAAGAAATGTATTTTCGTTTCTGAACTCCTCACCAGAAATTGGTCTAATAGATTTTTCCCTTTCTGTAAGAACAGATATTTTGCAATATGATTGGATCTGTAAACTCCAACTCCAAAATGATTGAGCATTACAGGAAGAAATATCTTCCAGTGAGAAGAATGGGTCTGTTTCATGGTTGTTTCATTTACTTACATGAAATGCCTTTTAGGTAACATTCCCTGCCATTTTGATTTTCATTGTATACAATGAATTCTTAAGTTATGTCTAGTTTTAATATTTCTACCAAGCTAAATGTAAAATCTCTTTCTGTTGAAGGAATACCGAGTTCAAAGTAATATCAGAGCTGGCCATGAGAAGGATGAAACTTGAAATTGCAATGCATGGGGGCAATGTTTGTGACGATATGGAACCTGCGACACATTTATTAGTCTATTCAGTGGTTGGATCACATGACTTTGATGAGATATATGAAAGGTATTGATCTATATTTTAGTAAGCTATGTGTAATTTTAATAGGGGCATGTACATAAGTGCCTCCCAATTCCTATGCATTTGCATATCTATTACCTAAACTTTGCTTTTATATTTATCCTATCCAAATATTGCATATGCATCAAAAACACCACCATTGTAACTTTTAAAAGGTGAAACACGTCTTTTCAAGCATATTTGAGGTGGTATTTATGTAAATATTGAAGTTTAGGTGTTAGGTATGTAAATACATGGGAGCTTAGTGGTATTCATGTAAACCTTCCATTTTAATATAACTTCAAAAGAAATATTTGTTTTTGTTATATTGTGGTCATTTCCTCGAACAATTTAAAATGAAATAAATTTATGTGAAAACTGTTGGGTGGTGGCTTTTGGCTTTATCCTCCTGGACTTCAGGTTGGGGCAATGGCTTTTACCTATGTACATTGGCTTAATCAGCTTTAAAGGTTTAAAATGAAAAAATGCAAAACAATGTATTCATAAAAAAAGGATAATTTGCAAAGATGAGATTTAGTCAAGCTAAAATCAAATGGGCATTAAAATAAAAAGAAATATTAGAAAGAGAGCATACTATCACATGGGCTGAAATAAATTAACTTCAAAAGAAATATTTGTTTTTGTTATATTGTGGTCATTTCCTTGAACAATTTAATTTATTATTGCAAGCTACCAAACTAATTTCGAGTATACGAGTAAATTTGAAGAGATTTTGCTACGATATAAGATCATTAAAAGTCATAAAAAAATCTATAAATTATAACTTGATTTGCTTGATAAGTATTAAATGCAAAATTTTGAGATGAATTTGTTGAAGCCCGACAGATTTATTGGAAATACTTACGTTTATTCTCATTGGAAGCATCACATGATGCAAAGATATGTTTATAGTTTACTTTTTTTCTTTTAGAAGTTGGTTTATTTTGTTTGTTATTTATATAATTTGCTAGAGGTGCACTAATGGGAGTTCTTCTTCAATTATCTTGTAGCTTTGAAAGTGAAATGTAATTTGAAAAGCTTATGGACTTAGGGTTCATATTGGACAATTGACTATGAATAGGAATTTTGGGAATTTTCAAATTATGGTTGGAAATTATTTTGGATTTTAATTTAATCATGGCTTAATTTAATCTTATGTCAATCATATCTACCAGCCTTGATCTATTTTTACAAATTTAGACTTTCAGATAGTATGAAAGGTAACAATTAGCATCTACAAATCGTGTATTAATATGTTATAATGATGAAAAAAAAATAATATGGTTTTACAACCATTAAATATACACTAGTGCAATTAAAAAATATGAACAAGAAAATCATTTTAGTGCAAGGTTGATCATGAAACATTGGCCATAAGAAGATAGAGAGAAAAAAATGATCATAGAAAAAATATTATAAAAATACTATAAATATGATAGATCAACATCATTCAATGTGCTAAAAAAATGTCATGGGAAAGTATATGAAATGATATTTAATCTTACAAAATTTAAATGTGCTCTTTCTAGGCGCTTGATGCATAACAAGAGGTGTTTTCTTTATAAAAACCACTAGGGATGAAGAAAGTTGCTTGTGAAGAATCTTATGATTCTGTGATTTTCTTGTTATTGCAGTTCTATTAATGTAAAATCTTTTGCAATTTACATGTTCTTAGCCGCGTGAATAATTAAATGTGTAATTTGCTTTATTCTTTTATGATTTTCACAGCATTCCATCAACTCAGCGCCATCTTTTACACCAGAGAAAGTTACATGTACTGGTGCATAATTGGTTGCAAGATTCCTTGGATAGAAGTGTAAAGTTGCCCGAAAATGATTATAATATGAAGCCAGATTCTTTGGAAGAATACGCATTCGAAAAAAAGTAAGTGTAACCAAATTTTTTGTGCTCAAATTTTATTCTTTACTGTTTTGGGTATTACCATGAAGATGTCATCATGCATAGATAAGGCGGCATATATGCAAAAATTAAAGTTTCGGTGTTAGATAGGTAAGTACATAAGAACCGAGCGGGGTATGTATGTAAATCCTCTATTTTTTTGCGTAAATATCGGGCGAAATGATTTGAGTGAGGTGGTAAAATTACTATTTTTATTGATAATTAATTATTTATTTTACACCTTGTTAAGCAAAATTTTAAATTTAAGGGTGGAAAAGCCTATACCTTGGACTGTCCCTAGGTATATTCCCCTACATCACGAACGGGTAGGATGGTAGGTTTATGTGGCATGTATATTCAACGGACGCATATTTGATTCTAGATTTATATTTTGCTTTTTAATCTTCCATCATTGGGGCATTTACACATCTTACACTTAAAATTTATTTTTTACATTTATACAATCCAAATCTTTGGTATCACATCAAAAATATCACCAGTGTAACTTTTTAAGAATGAAATACACCTTTTCATATATAGATAAGGTGGTATGCATGTAAAATATGAAGTTTGGCCGTTAAATATGTAAATACTTAGAAATTGAGTGGCATGTATATATATCTTTGTTGATTTGACTTGATTGTGGCAGAGACAATCCGACATTTCCAGCAATCAAATGTGAAGCTGAAGAACAGAACTCTGCCGCATCTGGAAAGCGAAAAAGAGGAAGGCGACCAGCAGGACAAGCTGGTGTTGTTCGACCAGCTCGCAGACCCACTCGACGAAGTCGTGCGAAGACTGGAAAACATTCAGCAAAGCTGGGTTCAGATGAGTCTGATAGCATTGACTCCATGGAAGTAGCTCCAACAGCATATGTTAAAGAAAGAGGAGAAACTGAACAAAAATGGAGAAAAGAAGAGCATGAAGAACAATCTGTTAAGACTGAAAGGAATCAGGAAATTACAGATTTGCCTGTAGAAGAGTGTAATTCTTTGAATTTAATGGATATTGGAGATAAATCAGGGGATAAATTGGAGGTGATGACTGATCCAATTCATGCAATGCTGTTAGACATGATACCCAGTCTTAGCCAAACTCAGAAAAGGCATGGAGAAGTTGATCCCATCCGTGTGGCTGATGACGAGAAGGCGGTGCAGGCAAGAGAAGAGAATCAAAACCCGGCGAAGAAGAAAGTGAGCTACAAAGATGTTGCGGGCGAGCTTCTCAAAGATTGGTAATTTGGTGCTATAGAGCTAGCTATTGGAGAAAAGTATCAAAATGATTGCCTAGACTCTTTATAAGGGTACATTTTAGTCCTAAGCAGTGGATGATATGTTGATGATTTCGAGCTCAAAATAAAGACACCTACAAACTTAGCTCAAACTGCACACTTTATATATTTATGATTGTTGTAATACAAATTTATTTATTGATTATAGTGGGAGCAAAGTCATTAGTGTGATCCTAAAGGTGAAAGATTGGAATATTACAGGCTGTGCTCGCTTTCTCAGCCATTCTGAATTAGTGTAGGTTAAGCTAGCCCGGCTCGGGCTTGGTTAGATAAGTAGCTTGTGAATTGAGCTCACAAGCTCAGCTCAAGTTAGCTCCAACTCAATTCATTAGCTTTTGAGATTGCTCGAACTCGTAGAATTAATCTCTTTGACTTCGAACTAATATTAAGTTTATCGAGTTCAAGCTGAAAGTAGATTTAGCTCGACTCGACTCTTCTCTTCACTCCCTCTACTCTGAACTCTTTAACATCATGTTGTCAACCATTATGGTTTTCAATCTTCGATCAAATTGCCATATTTCAATGTTTCTATAATTTCAAGGCGATCATATTATGATCTCGTCGCTAAGAGAACCGGCTTTACCATATAATTTTTTCATGAAAAAAAAATCTTAATTATTAATTTTTAAGAGTAAAGTACGCATTTTATTATACATAAGTAAAATATTTTAAAACATCCAATTAAACATTTAAAAATCACGTGTATAGATACAGAAAAATTATTTATTAAATTTTAGTCTCTTTTTTTAACTAAAATATATATTTGTAATTAAAAAGTGATTCTATTTTTATAACTAAACTCTCATACATACATTTATAACACTTGAAAACTTTAATATTACATACTGTTTTTCTAAAATGATATATACCATAACAACAAAATGCTGTTCTTCTTATAAAAGCAATATACATAGATTAATAATATTAAAATAATATAAAACTTAATATTAAATTTTAAGTGCTATAAATAAAAATAGATAAGAATGATGAGGGATGCATATAAATTTTCGTTGTTAATAGCATGATAATATGTGATTAAATAAATTAAGCTGACGAAATTTCTACTGACAACAGTGCTGAACAATATCTTCATATTTCTCTTATTAAGCTGCTTCGGGATTACCGCTTCAAATCCAAGCCTAATGATATTACTTCTTTTGACATAAAATGTCAAGGCATATACATAAATACCACACATTCTTCTTCCTCTACATATCCAACATCTAAAAGTTCATATTTATATGCATACCATTCAACTCTTTAACAACACATTAAAAACAACACCAACACTACATTTTTAAGAGTTAGACAATTTCATGCATAAGGTCTATGATGCCAAGTTAAATATCAAATTTTGGGTGACAGGTGTAAATATGTAACAGTGTTATTTATGTAAATTGCCCTGAAATATAATGATCATTAAAGGCATTCTAATTGAATTCAGCAAATAACACTTCTAATAATCAATCCAACAAAAAATATGCATCCGCAATGTTTTAATTAAAAAAAAATTCACATACATACCACTCAATTTCTATGTATTTACATCTCTAACACTTAAAACTTCAATTTTTACATACATATCACCTCCCCTATGCATGAAAACGTAAATGATGATATTGTTTTATGCGATGTGAAAATTTTGGATTGTATAACAGTGAAGAACAGATTTTTTGTAAAGAACAGATTTTTTTTTGTAAATACAAAAGAATAGCGTGGTATGCATGTAAATGCCCGTGTAATTAATTTAGAACCTTTGCTAAATCATTTTTAATTCCTAGGTAAAACTGGAACAATCTTGCTTCAGCTTCAACAGACTTATTATTAGAAACACTTTTCACAAGATAAAAACAAGCAAAAGCGCTTATATTCTATTCAACATATCCAAAACCCAAAGCTTGATAAGTGCAATATATAATTAATCAATCAAAACATATATTACACTCATCTTAAAGCAAATCCAATCACAATAAAACTCACCCTTGAGTCGCAATATTCCAATCCATTTTTTTTTCACATAAATTTATGTTCTCGTGCAACTGCGCGTGCGCGAGCATGTTTGTGCACGAGTTTAACAGCATGCAAACGTGTTCAAGCGAGCGAAAACATGTGACTTCTTAAGTTTTAAGAGTGAGCTGCAATCAAGAGAGTCATGCATATCTCAATCCATACATAACTAACATCCACAATCTAAGAGGCAACGTTCAGAACACTAACGAAAAAAAAAAAAAAAACTAAAATGAAAAAGCAGAGTTGATGGCCAAATTAAATAACAAAAGCCATCTCAAAAGAAATCATGTTGCAGTAATGGTGATAGAAATACCTCATGTAAACCTACTGAAAACTCAGTTTGTCAAGCTTCGAGTCCACCACATCATCTTCTGCCTCCCCATCCGCATCTTCCTCCTCATCCTCCTCTTCTTCCCCTTCGGGGTCGTTGTCTTCTAACGACCCAAGCACGCTCGCCGATTTCTCACCCGATTTCAGCATCTCTTCCACCTCATCAATCCCTTCGTCTGATATGGCGTTCCCGTTGATGTTCAAAAGCACGAAATTGGGCTTATTCACAACGACTGCTCGGGCCAAGCATCGTGCCCCGACTCTCCTTATGGCATTATAGCTGAAGTCCAATTCTCTCAGCTGTGGATTACCCTCCTCCAAAGCTTTACCTATCAGCACAGCGCCCTCATCCTTTAATTCATTTTCAGACAAGCTCAGAGACCTGAGTGTCTGTTTATCGGCCAAATAAGCAGCGATATTGGGGGCGGCTTTCGCTGTGATCTCGTTTCCGGCAATCTCTAAGATCTCAAGACGAGAATTGGATGTTCTCAATGCATTGAAGATCGATATTGCGCCCTCATCTTCCAGATTTAGGTAACTTAGGTAGAGTTCGGTGAGAGCTTCATGCTTTTCAAGAGTACGGCTAAGGGCTATCCCTGCTTTGACACCGAAAATGTTGTCTCTCAGATCGAGCTTCTTCAGACGAGTACAGGCTTCCAATGCCTCAGACAATGCAATTCCGCCCACCAAGTCGACTCGAGTGGACGAGCAAAGAAAATCTTCGAGACAAGGAGACCGCTTCAGGACCTCAGAAATCGCGATGCCGCCTTCATCTCCAGTCATATTGTTATGGAAGTGGAGGATCCGAAGCTTTTCAGTGGAAGGAATTAGCTCGCATAAGGCCTTCGCGGCCTCCTCTGAGATCCCATCATTCTTCAAGTATAGTTCCTCCAAGTTATTTTGAGATTTAAGAAGTGTTTCAAATGCCCTTACTCCCTTCTCACCCATGGCATTGTCAGAGAGATTCAAATATTTCAGATCACAATTTTCAAGAGCAGAAGAAAATATCCTCATGACTTCGAGAGCATCATCCTCTGATCGTCCCGCAATGAAATCGGAGAGATCAACTTCAATCAATTGTTTTGATAGGGATTTCAGAATAGGCTCCGCAACACGAGCCGCATCGACACCGAAGCTTCGGTTGCTGAAGCAAATCTTTGTGTATGAGTTACCCTGCTCTGCTAATGGACTCAGTACTTCGTGCGCCTCATCGGCTTCTAGAAAATCTCGGCGACCGGTCGAAATATCAAAGACGGTGTTATAAGAAGCAACAGGTGTCGAATCCTTCGGGATCTTATCTTCATCTTCCTTGTGTTTTGGGCCTCTTTTGAGGACTTCGAGCATGAGTTTACTGGTTTCCTTGGCATAGAGCTGAACTGCAGAGCTGCCATCTCCATCAGGCTCCTTTTCAAAATGGTCATTTGCAATAACAAAGCAACTTTCTTCGATCCTTTGGGCATTTTCTAATGCTTCCCCATTGGTCAGGAGGCCGTATTTTCGCGAAAAGATTGATTCCGTCGAGAGGTTCTTCGCCATCCTCTCGAGGAGCATCTGCCGAGTGGTCGAACTGGGCGGCCATAGCTTGACGGAGAAGGTGCGAGGTTGAAAAGTTTCCAGCGTAGACTCCATTGTTAAAAGCTCCTGCTTGATTTCATGAAATGAATGACAAGAATTAACCCAAAAAATAGTAAAAAAATTAAAATCTTCATATCACATCAAAAGTACCACCATTTTAACTAGCAAAAAGTGACATACACATGTTCATGCACAGAGAAGGTGGTATGTATGCAAATTTGGGTGTTAGATATCTAAGCACATAGGAATTAAGTAGTGAATATGTAAATCTTCCTATCTAAAATTCAATAGGAAAGCATAACAGAAATTCAATAAAAAGCAGCCATTGAGCAGAAAATAATCACAAATCTCAAGCCAGAATAATAGGCTTCTTCGGTTTTACGATTGACGACGATCAACCTATTAGACGTTTTGCATGTAATAAGTTGGCAACCTATGACTTATGATCCGAAGGGCCGTATGGTACGAAAGAGTAATGAAAGAGATCAAAGAAAGAGATTCCAAAGTTTGTATGCATTTGATGACCAAATTGCAAAAGTCAATAGCATTATAAAACTCATATGCATACGGTCTGCATGATCCACACATCCATTTGCACCATTCATGTGATTTAGTTCACTTAGCTTCTGAAAGGTTTTTACCCCTCTTGCTCTTCTTCAGTGGCAATCTACCTCTCTTTAAAACTAATGGTCGTTCATATAGCCATAAATATTCGGGAATTTACGAATAATTCTTATATATTTACATATGTAACACCTAACTTTGATATTTACATGCATGACACTCAAATTTTAACATCACATCAAACATACCACAATTATCAACTTTTTAAAATTGAAATACATCTCTTCATGCGTAGGTTTCAAACACCAGAGTGCCAAAGTGTAAATATCAAACTTTAGGTATTAGATATGTAAATGCATAAAAATTGTGTGGTATGTACATAAATTTTGTGTGGTATCAAAATTGTGTGGTATCTACATAAATTTCCCCAAAAGAATTTGTTAGGGCATTTACATACAAACCGCCCAATTCATATGTATTTACACATCTAACAGACAAACTTTAATTTTTTTATATTTATACTGGTAAATCTTTCATATCACATCCAAAATATCACCATTTTAACATTTAGAAAGTGAAATATACATTTTCATGCATAGGTAATGTGGTATGTAAGTCAAAATTGAAGTTTAGTTATTATATATGTAAATACATAAGAATTGAGACGTATGTATGTAAATCTTCCTATTTTGTTTCACATCTAGTAAGACACCCACCCCAAGAATCTCAAGCTCACAAAGACACTAGGCATAAAAAATGGGCATTTAGATTTACATACATGCCAAACAATTCTTATGTATTTACATAGCTAACAACTAAACCCAAATATTTACATGTAAACCACTCAAAACTATCATATCAAATCAAAAATACCCTCACCACTATTTGTTTAAAAGTGGCACATCTTTTCGTGTATAGGTTTACGATATCAAGATGTTATAATTGTAAATATTAAACTTTGGGTATTAGATATGTAAATACATAAAAGGAAGGTTAACATGCATATCACTCAATTCTTATGTATTTACATATCCACATATCACTCAATTCTTATGTATTAACATATCCAAGACCTAAACTTCAATTTTTACACAGACGTCATCTTACCTGTGCATGAAAAGATGTATCAAGACCTAAACTTCAATTTTTACAGACGTCATCTTACCTGTGCATGAAAAGATGTATTTCACATGTTAGAAGCTAAAATGGTGGTATTGTTTATGTGCAATGAAAGATTTGGGTGGTATAAATGCAAAAAATAAATTTTAGGAGGTAGATGTGTAAATACATAGCAATGTGGGGTATGCACGTAAATGCCCCTACATAAAAAAATATGTTATGTATCATTTATGTAAATTTCACTGTAAAAAAACAATCTCCATAAATTCAAGAAACCAACATCCTTAAGCGAATGATAACTACAGATCATTACCCTAAATCCTCTTTTTGTCCAAAGTTAACAGAAACCGAAAGACATTTCGAACAACAATGCACGATCTTCCAACTCATTTTATCAAGTCAACAAAACGTTTTCATCTAACCGATTAGAAAATTTCATAAAGGCATCTACAGATCATGCATGCGTCTAACCAGAAACATGGAAGCAGATTTAAGCCCAGAGAAACGCGTTAAATGAGTGATTTGATACCTTAGTGCCGCAAAAGAAGGCGAACAGAGGCGGAGAGAGACGAACTCTGGCGATCAAAAAAAACTAACCTACCGCGAAAGCGAAAGAAATCGAAGCCAAAGGGAGAGGAATGCAGACTGAGAAGATCGTAGGGGACAAACAGTGCCCTAATCTACGGCGAACACAGACGGAGAGCTGCCGGCGTGAGGTGGCAGAGAATACGGAGTGGATCGCGAGGAAACGGAGCGTTTCGAAACCCTAAAAATAGAATTCAAAACCCTGAATCCTGATCTTATGCTATATTGGGCTGGACCGCATTTAGCCGACTGGGCTTTATATATATATATATATA